GCTATTACGTAGGGCAGTAGTTATCTTTCTTCCAGCCAATCCTTCTTTAGGCTAGTATTGCAAAGGCTGATTTCCTTGCTTGTAAAAGTCCTTCCAGCATACTAAAGTCCATGTTTGTGGACTGTAAAAGCTTTCAGCCTGATGTAGATTAAGGGGCTGATATGGTGCACTGTACATGTAAGCTGATTCATGCATTTCCTCTTTTCTAGCTGCTGGATTGGGCAACTTGTTATCAGACCTATTTGGACTGGGGTAAGTTACTTTATCTTGTGAGGCCACACCAATTTAATTTGTTGGTTCTTGGATTTTTTCAGAACAAATACGAAGCGACAGGGCGAAAAATAACAAGTATGATGTTTTTAAAAAAACACAGGCGACGATTTTGTGTTTACCTGTTTCGTTCTTGATAAATCGTTCTTTTCATACACGTACACATATAATTTGGAAAGAATTTATAATTTCTGCTACAGTGCCAGGAAAGCCGCCAGGGGTCCAAAATCAGTTAGGCCCAGGCAAATTTATGCTGTGTTTCTTGCAGTTAAAAAAATTTGAATCGCTAGATAGGGATTCACTTAATATTTTTAATGTCTTTTGATTTTTTCATAGATTTTTATAATTAGTGATCCAACTAATACAGTGAATATAACACTGAAATGTATAAGTACACTGGTATCTTCAACACTACACTAATTTCGCCCCTAGAGATAAAATATTGAAACGCGATCCATGGGTTCACCGTAAATTCCCGAATAAAGTACGCACCCCTTCTGCGCACGGCCGGTGCCACTGTGGACATGTACATGTAGTATATGTATGTCTTAAAAACAGTTAGTTCTAGAAACAAATCGTTTTAGGCCGTGTACTATATACGTGATTGCATGATAACTGGATACAGTATTGTAGCGGGAAAGGTTTCGTGTCGGGGCTTGTTTTCATCGCTGGCCGCAGCCGATTTGCAAGACGTCACCCCCGCATCGAAGGGTAAGGCGAGTGCGGCGAAACGGACAGCTTTGGATCACGGAGAGTGTTGGTGACCAAGCCAGCAATGGTCAATTAAGTTTTGTTAATATTTCAATAATGGTTTCATCGGTAACAAGGGGTAGTTGAATGTTGATACACAAGTACGTAGCTTTGTTGTCCTTTACTACTATACGAAATGCGCCGAACACTTTAGGCCATGTTGATTTGATTATATGGATGACATCCGCGCGCGCATGAATTTTCGGCCGTTTCAAAAAAAAGAGTTTTCAACCATACTGTAAATCGTGCAAAACAGTTGCTAAATGAGCAAAAATATACCATAAGTTGCAAGGAAAACGTTTTAAAAACGACACCAATGTCGTAGAATGCCAAAATCAAAGGAAAAAAGACAAAAATGTAAAGAAATGAATTCGAAGAGTAGATTATTCGCCATAACATATTCTGTGCCATTTGTTCAACCTTCATGACCATGACCAGATTTCATAGTGAAAGCAACTTTTTTTTGTCAAAACTTTTTTTTTATTCGCACGCGCGCATCAGTTTTGGGGTTCCCAGAGGATGTCATCCATATATTCAAATCAACATGGCCTTAATAGGGCCCGCCCGATCGACCCATGAAGAGCAACGATCACCGAGGCGGAGAACTGGGCAGAGCGTTGATGCTACTGTGGGTGTAGAAGTGCTACCGTATTTAGAATTTGAAACTGCAAAAGGCTACTGGGACTTGCGATTTATAACAGGGGTGAGTGAAAAGTTTGACTGCGTTTCAAATAATCTCTCGTAATGTGATAGTTTGATGTTTTTGTCACAAAATCAAAGGAATAATGTACACTTCAAATATGTATTAATTTGTACTCCGTAATACTGAGTCCGTTCAGAGGAAAGAAATACTTCCTTCTCGGGGCCAAGGTTCTGGAAAGCTGTCCTCAGCGCTGCCACGGCCCTCTCTTCGTTCTTCAGCTGTATGTGCACTTTGCAGGGGAAAAGGATCGGCGTGCACAAGACAACGGGCGCAGCATGATTCAAAGTTTATTTTATATTTACGCCCTTGTTCACGCCGATCAAAAGAAACTGTGACAATTCGGTACGTGCAGGCCCGTGCACGTGGCGACACAGGCTGGCTTCCCGCTCTAGCTGTGGGTTCCCACGATGTGTTGCCAAGGGCAGCGGCACGTACACAGACCTACCGGCGGATCCCACCCACCGGGCGGCGGTAAGATTTTCAAAGACTACATTTATAACTCCCGCCCCTATCATTGTTGCGTGCCGAACAGTCGAGTACATCTAACTGGCATTTTTACGTCGTACTGACACATACAGCCCGCTACAAAGTAATTTCCTGTTGCATTTAACGATTTAAAAAGAGTTGTGATACGAAATGAAATATTGATAACAATTTAAGTTAAGTGAACCTTTGTAACGGCATGGATCATCTTTGTTGAAGATTTCTGAGTTCAACGCAAGCCGGAAGTGCATTAGAACCTACCATCAGTCCAGGTGCAACAATTATGTTATCACGTTACGTTACGACGATCAAGAACGTTCACGGCTTGCGGACCATTTCAAATATTATAATTTTATAATGGAAAAAAATCTTACGTGGGTTAATATTTTCGGCCGGAGTTCCACGAGATCGGCTCCGGCTGGCTCGGGAACGATCCCATCGGCATGACGGAGCGACGGGCGTCGTCAAAGCGATACAAAAATGTTACAAGTACAACGCAAGGACAGACAGATTTCTACACCAGCGCTCTTTGTGCCTTCCCCCAACCCACAGACTCTCTGGGAAACTCAAATTACTCTCATGGTAGACAAGGTGCTCCAAGCGAGTGTGCACTTTCCACAAACTAGAATTCAAGTTACCTCGAACAGTACTCGATGTCATTTACAAATCCTTTATTTACCCACTTCTCGAATACGCTGATATCATATGGCAAGTATGTAACGTAACCTCATTCGATTCCCAACGCTTAGAACGAGTGGAGTACATGAATGCTCCCTTACAGGTTCAGGGGCTGTAAGGGGGTCCTCGTATTCCTCTCTCCTTGCAGAACTAGTTTGGGAAACACTTTGGGATCGTCGTCATTCTTTGTCTATGTTCTACAAAATTGTTCACGGTAATATCCGCCAGCATCTTGAAGACCTAATTACTCCTGAAGTTGCCGTTTCTATCTGTTACGACCTTCGTAATAAGCACAACCTTCGGCTGCCATGTTGATTGATTATATGGATGACGTC